TATATATATATGTATATATCGTACCTAGTAGCCAGAACGCACTTCTCGGCCTACTATGCAAGGCCCAATTTGCCTAATAGGGTGAGTGATTTTCTTTATTTTCAATAAATTGTTTCCTATTGGATTATTTTAAATATTATTATTATATTTAAAAAATAAATATATATAAAATATATATATATATATATATATATATATATATATATATATATGTGTGTGTGTGTGTGTGTGTGTGTGTGTGTGTGTGTGTGTGTGTGTGTGTGTGTGTGTGTGTGCGTGTGTGTGTATCACGAGAATAAACACGTGATTAAAAATGTGACAGTGTCAGACCACGGAGGAAAATTGAAACAGGAATTTCCTTAAGTACTTTCGTATATTAATACATCTTCAGACTCCTTCTGAAGATGTATTAATATACGAAAGTACTTAAGGAAATTCCTGTTTCAATTTTCCTCCGTGGTCTGACACTGTCATATATATATATATATATATATATATATATATATATATATATATATATATATATATATATATATATATAAACAACATAAGATATATGCACCAAAGTGGCCCCCATTACAACACCTTGGGAAGACATATAAGCACAGGCTTTCTGCGCAACGTTTCTGCCCGAAACGCTGCGCGTACTAGTGGCTTTACAAGATTGTAAATACCATGCTATGTATCATCACAAACCCAATGTACCTTCTTGTATATAAATAAATAAATAAATAAGATAGACGGAGCAACAATGGCGTCCCCACTAAAAGTGCTCTTGGCTAACTTCTATATGGGAATACTAAAAGACACCATCTTCACAACCACAGAGACACCTGGCATCTACTGCAGATACATTGATGATATATTCGTATGTGTGTAAGACCTCCAGGAACTGACGCATTAAAGGATCAACTTGTCCGAAACTACGCGCTGAAGGTTACCCATGAACTAGGAGGCATGGCTGGCGCGCTCCCTCTCCTTCGTGTCTCCGTCAGCACAAAACACAACACTTTCACCACAGGGGTTTATACTAAACTTGCCAACATTGGCATGTGAATGGTCACTCTGAATGCTCAAACAGATATAAGACCAGTGTAATAAACTCATTTATACGCAGAGCCATTACTCATTGTTGTGAGTGGCATAACAGCCACAAGGAACTGGACAGAAGCCTTCTAGTATTACTAAACAACGGCTGCACGTATACACAACTCAACAACACCAAACAATCCCTCTCATAAAACTCATTACAAATCCACTATGAGTTCACAGTACAAAACTAAAGATATAATAATCTATATAAATAAAAATGTAAATGTTCGTTTGTTCAAAATCGCTGATATCCGAAAGTTCTTCACCGATTGCTTTGAAATTTTCACACAACGTTCCATTCGCACCGGAGCAGGTTTTTATATACATACTCTATAGATGTCACGTCTGTGACGGGGAAAAAAACATGCTTTTTTGAAAAACTGTGTTTTTCCTGTGAGGGAAATCTTCGAAACCTCTTTACCGATTGCTTTGAAATTTTGACACAACGTTGCATTCGAATAAGCGTGTGTTTTTATGTACCCACTATATACATGCCGCACACGTGACAGGAAAAACGTGCTTTTTATGAAAAACAGTGCCATCTGTTGGACGGAAGATCAACACAGCTAAAATCTCCGAAAGTTCTTCACTGATTGCTTTGAAATTTTGACACATTTCATTCAAATACTCGCATGTTTTTATATACCTACTATATATATGCCACACCTGTGACAGGCAGACATGGTGTTTTTGAAAAACAGCGCCATCTTTTGCATGTAATAGCAACACATGCTGTACTAAATATGCTACAATTCCATTTCAATGTTTCCGATTTCATTGATAAATTGAATTTTCATAGATTTCGATTTATTTTCATTTTGATTTAATTATTTTGTGTGACATTGTGTTGGAATTCAGCTGTGTTATTTACCATACCGTTCATTTAGTGAGTATAGTTTATTTTTTATTTTTTTTATTAGTTTTCATTTTTTTTTTTACTGTTTTTCTTATATTTCAATGATGGGAACATCAGATCATTTGATGTTCCCAATATTCTGATGGGAACATCAGATCATTTGGGAAAGCATTGAACGAAGGAGTGGGGAATGGTGGGGAGGACTGGCAGACAGGGGAAGGTTGCTGAGGCTCAACAACGCACAGGCGTTGTTGAGCCACAGCAACGCGTGGCCGGGTACAGCTAGTTCTAAATATAGCAAAAAAAGTTTCCAAAGCTGTTGGTATTTTCAATTCAATTCAAATTCAAATTTTTATTCAGGTAAAAATACATAGATGAAGAGTTACAAACATAATGTTGAATTTATAGATAGAACTAGTACATACAATACCTAAAGCCACTTATACGCATAGCATTTTGGGCAAATCTATTCTTTCTAAGATCAGATATTATGTACCTCGCCGTGCCCTAGTGACTATTACTCTCTCATCTATCCTTACCTAAATTATGATATTTGTGCTTGGGGTACTTGTGCTACACAAAATCATTTACGTCTTCTAATTACTCAACACAAATATGATATTAGAACAATATCTAACTCTGGCTCCAGACATCACTCGGTACCCTTAAATCTTTGAATATGTTAGATATTAAGTCACTGCACAGCCTCTCAAGTGTACTCTCTATATTTAAAACTCTGAACTATAATGCCAATCCTGACCTTAGAAGCTTCCTAGAAGGTTGTAACAGATCCAATGAGCACCACACCAGAAACAAATACCTATTTGATATTCCAAGAGTGCGACTTAACCAAACTAGAAATGCTCTACAACTCAAGGGACTCAGAATGTGGAATGACCTTCCCAATCATGTTAAAGACTGTACCTCTCTCAACCAGTTTAAGAGTAGCACTAAGTACTACCTAATTCACTCCATGTAACCTACCTTAACCCTAAATGCCAACCCACGTCTTGCTATTTTAAACAATACTGTTTGTTGACCAACTTGTATAATTGATGATTTCCGCCATGTTCCCCATTTTTTATTCCTTTTTCAACACAATTTAGACTTTAATCTCAATTAGTATTAAGTTTTAGTCTGTTTTTTTCCACACCTTGCCCAAAACGCTAATGCATATGTATATATTAAATGTATGCATAGGTATATATATATATATATATATATATATATATATATATATATATATATATATATATATATATATATATATATCGTACCTAGTAGCCAGAACGCACTTGTCAGCCTACTATGCAAGGCCAAATTTGCCTAATAAGCCAAGTTTTCCTGAATTAATATATTTTCTCAAATGTTTTTCTTATGAAAAGATAAAGCTACCCATTTCATTATGTATGAGGTCAATTTTTTTTTATTGTAGTTAAAATTAACGTAGATATATGACCAAACCTAACCAACCCTACCTAACCTAACCTAACCTATCTTTATAGGTTAGGTTAGGTTAGGTAGCCAAAAAAGTTAGGTTAGGTTAGGTTAGGTAGGTTAGGTAGTCGAAAAACAATTAATTCATGAAAACTTGGCTTATTAGGCAAATCGGGCCTTGCATAGTAGTCTGAGAAGTGCGTTCTGGCTATTAGGTACGACATATATATATATATATATATATATATATATATATATATATATATATATATATATATATATATATATATATATATATATATAAAAGTTTGTGAGGGTACCACCTCTGGTGCCAATGTGGGGACCCATAGCCTCGGAGAAGAAAATAAAATGTATTCAGAGGAGACCTTGTGGTTTCTCACTGAACACTAATATTATCTTCTCCTACCACCCCCATTCTTTTGTATGTACACATATATATTTACTTTATTTGAACTTTGTTACAAAAAAGGAGTTACATATAGGTTACAAAGATGGTTGTCATAGGTTGTCGAGTTCCTCCAGCTCCTCAGATGGCGGGCAGGAACCCTGGATGCAGTGCGCATTTCCCCTCTGTATCGCCACACTGAGGCGCTCAGTGTGGTATATATATATATATATATATATATATATATATATATATATATATATATATATATATATATATATATATATATATATATATATGTATATGTATATACAGTATAATGTATGCATGCATGTATATGGTGTAGCATATTTTTTTACATATATGTGTGGAAGAGCTTGGAGGCATTAATGGGGGGGTTAATGGTTTACCCTTGCTGGTGGGGGGGGGGTCCCCCCTACTGTGGAGGCATGAGGGGGGGTTAATGGTTTACCCCTGCTGGTTGGGGGTTCCCCTCCCCCACCTGGTGGGGGGTTTCCCCCTACCCCTGCTTATAGGGGGCTCCCCCCCCCCCCCGGGAGTCATCTCACATGCGCTGACGAAATTGTGAAATCGTGGTGTCAGAGCGGAGGCGCCGGTGGCCAGGCCCAGCGTCCCTCCCCGTGTTGTCTGCACATTATAATAACCGGTAAAGACGCACACAAAAACTATATAAGCCCAATAGGGGAGTTGTGGGCCATAGTGGCCAGCCAGTGTGGTAGGAAAGTGGCTAGCTGGGACCCGCGCCGCCCCCCCCCCCTGGGCCCCGAGGGCACGGCATGGACCCAACGGGCCCTAGTGGCCCCCGTGGCACGCTGACCAGTGCCTGTGCCTCGTGCTGGGCTCAGCTCCTCCTCACCCCGCCCTATACTGACCTAAATAAGGCTTTATTCAGTGTACACAGCCAAACTTGACCTTAAACTTTACCACACCCGTTATTACGACCCGCCCCTCAAACACACACCACAGGTCACCGTTGTAACGAGTTAGTGCGTGCTGGAGTGCCCGTGAGTGCCAGGGAACCATTACAGTCTGATACAAGTGTGTTACTGTACCCGAGACTCGGGTACAGCAGCCACGTAAGCGGGGTCGCCTCACCCAGGCCCCGATACAGAGAACAACACACCAAAACAACTTTATTTAAGCCCGATTTGCGCAGCCAAAATTGACGCCGCTTCTTTACCCTTGCAGGAAGATAACGCCCGGCCTCATGCCCCCGGGGTCGCCAGGAACCTACCGGAAAAAATCGGCGTCATTGGAGCTGCCGGCGGCGCTGCAGCAGCTGCCACGGCCACACCGAGGCAGCATTTCTGGCGAGTCCAAAATGGCCGAAGAGAAGCCTTGGCCTAACACCAAGGAGGACTACGATCTCAGAGAAGTGATAGGTAAGGCTACACACCGTCCTGGCCCACCATGAAGGTCTCGGGCACCTCCTGAGTGCCTCGCAGGCACCGTCAAGTGCGTCCTGGCGCGGTAAAACACGCTGTGAAGGGGTGTCGCCGCTGTGGCTGGTGGTGGCGCCCTTCCCGGGCCGCTGGGGCTGTGAGGCGGGTGTGAGGCAGGTGTGAGGGCCAGTGCCACCCCGAGGACAGTGCCAGGTGTGGCCAGTGGCCAGGTGTGGCCCCGTGGCCCACTAACACCAACATCCGGTTGTGATGAGGGCGTGTGAGGCGGATATGACTCTGGTCCAGGTGTGTAGGGCTCCGTTTTCTGTGGTGGAGGCGTCGTCTGCTCTCCCTCACTCTCACTCGCTCTCCCTGGCTCCCTCACGTGTGGTGGAGGCGTCGTCTGCTCTCCCTCACTCTCACTCGCTCTCCCTGGCTCCCTCACGTGTGGTGGAGGCGTCGTCTGCTCTCCCTCACTCTCACTCGCTCTCCCTGGCTCCCTCACGTGTGGTGGAGGCGTCGTCTGCTCTCCCTCACTCTCACTCGCTCTCCCTGGCTCCCTCACGTGTGGTGGAGGCGTCGTCTGCTCTCCCTCACTCACTCGCTCTCCCTGGCTCCCTCACGTGTGGTGGAGGCGTCGTCTGCTCTCCCTCACTCTCACTCGCTCTCCCTGGCTCCCTCACGTGTGGTGGAGGCGTCGTCTGCTCTCCCTCACTCTCACTCGCTCTCCCTGGCTCCCTCACGTGTGGTGGAGGCGTCGTCTGCTCTCCCTCGCTCTCACTCGCTCTCCCTGGCTCCCTCACGTGTGGTGGAGGCGTCGTCTGCTCTCCCTCACTCTCACTAGCTCTCCCTGGCTCCCTCACGTGTGGTGGAGGCGTCGTCTGCTCTCCCTCGCTCTCACTCGCTCTCCCTGGCTCCCTCACGTGTGGTGGAGGCGTCGTCTGCTCTCCCTCACTCTCACTCGCTCTCCCTGGCTCCCTCACGTGTGGTGGAGGCGTCGTCTGCTCTCCCTCGCTCTCACTCGCTCTCCCTGGCTCCCTCACGTGTGGTGGAGGCGTCGTCTGCTCTCCCTCACTCTCACTCGCTCTCCCTGGCTCCCTCACGTGTGGTGGAGGCGTCGTCTGCTCTCCCTCACTCTCACTCGCTCTCCCTGGCTCCCTCACGTGTGGTGGAGGCGTCGTCTGCTCTCCCTCACTCTCACTCGCTCTCCCTGGCTCCCTCACGTGTGGTGGAGGCGTCGTCTGCTCTCCCTCACTCTCACTCGCTCTCCCTGGCTCCCTCACGTGTGGTGGAGGCGTCGTCTGCTCTCCCTCCCTCTCACTCGCTCTCCCTGGCTCCCTCACGTGTGGTGGAGGCGTCGTCTGCTCTCCCTCACTCTCACTCGCTCTCCCTGGCTCCCTCACGTGTGGTGGAGGCGTCGTCTGCTCTCCCTCACTCTCACTCGCTCTCCCTGTCTCCCTCATGTGTGGTGGAGGCGTCGTCTGCTCTCCCTCACTCGCTCTCCCTGGCTCCCTCACGTGTGGTGGAGGCGTCGTCTGCTCTCCCTCACTCTCTCTCCCTGGCTCCCTCACGTGTGGTGGAGGCGTCGTCTGCTCTCCCTCACTCTCACTCGCTCTCCCTGGCTCCCTCACGTGTGGTGGAGGCGTCGTCTGCTCTCCCTCGCTCTCACTCGCTCTCCCTGGCTCCCTCACGTGTGGTGGAGGCGTCGTCTGCTCTCCCTCACCCTCACTCGCTCTCACTCGCTCTCCCTGGCTCCCTCACGTGTGGTGGAGACGTCGTCAGCTCTCCCTGACTCACTCGCTCTCCCTGGCTCTATCTCCCTGGCTCTCCCTCACTGGCTCTCACTGGCTCTCCCTCTCACTGGCTCTCCCTGGCTCTCCCTCTCACTGGCTCTCCCTGGCTCTATCTCCCTCTGGCTCTCACTCGCTCTCTCTGGCTCTCCCTGGCTCTCACTCGCTCTCTCTGGCTCTCCCTGGCTCTCACTCGCTCTCTCTGGCTCTCCCTGGCTCTCACTCGCTCTCTCTGGCTCTCCCTGGCTCTCACTCGCTCTCTCTGGCTCTCCCTGGCTCTCACTCGCTCTCTCTGGCTCTCCCTGGCTCTCACTCGCTCTCTCTGGCTCTCCCTGGCTCTCACTCGCTCTCCCTGGCTCCCTCACGTGTGGTGGAGGCGTCGTCTGCTCTCCCTGACTCCCTCACGTGTGGTGGAGGCGTCGTCAGCTCTCCCTGACTCACTCGCTCTCCCGGGCTCTATCTCCCTCTCCCTGGCTCTCCCTCTCACTGGCTCTCACTGGCTCTCCCTCTCACTGGCTCTCCCTGGCTCTCCCTCTCACTGGCTCTCCCTGGCTCTCCCTCTCACTGGCTCTCCCTCTCTCTGGCTCTCCCTGGCTCTCCCTGGCTCTCTCTGGCTCTCCCTGGCTCTCGCTCGCTCTCTCTGGCTCTCACTCGCTCTCCCTGGCTCTCACTCCCTGGCTCTCACTTCCTCACTCTCCCTCCCTGGCTCTCCCTGGCTCTCCTTGGGTCTCCTTGGCTCTCCCTGGCTCTCCTTGGGTCTCCTTGGCTCTCCCTGGCTCTCTCTGGCTCTCCCTGACTCTCCTTGGCTCTCTCTGGCTCTCGCGTGTGGTGGAGGCGTCGACTGCTCTCCCTGGCTCTCACTCGCTCTCCCTGGCTCTCACTCGCTCTCCCTGGCTCTCACTCGCTTTCCCTGGCTCTCACTTGCTCTCCCTGGCTCACTCGCGTGTGGTGGAGGCGTCGTCTGCTCTCCCTGGCTCTCACTCGCTCTCCCTGGCTCTCACTCGCTCTCCCTGGCTCTCACTGGCTCTCACTCGCTCTCCCTGGCTCTTACTCGCTCTCTCTGGCTTTCACTCACTCTCCCTGGCTCTCTCTTGTGGTGGAGGCGTCGTCTGCTCTCCCTCATGTGTTCCCTCACATGTTCCCTCACGTTCCCTCACATGTTCCCTCACGTGTTCCCTCACATGTTCCCTCACGTGTTCCCTCACGTGTTCCCTCACATGTTCCCTCTCATGTTCCCTCAGGTGTTCCCTCACATGTTCCCTTACGTGTTCCCTCACATGTTCCCTCACATGTTCCCTCACATGTTCCCTCACATGTTCCCTCACGTTCCCTCACATGTTCCCTCACGTGTTCCCTCACATGTTCCCTTACGTGTTCCCTTACGTGTTCCCTCACATGTTCCCTCACATGTTCCCTCACATGTTCCCTCACATGTTCCCTTAGTGTTCCCTCACATGTTCCCTCACATGTTCCCTCACATGTTCCCTCACGTGTTCCCTCTCATGTTCCCTCACATGTTCCCTCACATGTTCCCTCACATGTTCCCTCACATGTTCCCTCACGTGTTCCCTCACATGTTCCCTCACATGTTCCCTCACGTGTTCCCTCACATGTTCCCTTACGTGTTCCCTCACATGTTCCCTCACATGTTCCCTCACATGTTCCCTCACATGTTCCCTCACGTTCCCTCACATGTTCCCTCACGTGTTCCCTCACATGTTCCCTTACGTGTTCCCTCACATGTTCCCTCACATGTTCCCTCACATGTTCCCTCACATGTTCCCTTAGTGTTCCCTCACATGTTCCCTCACATGTTCCCTCACATGTTCCCTCGCGTGTTCCCTCACATGTTCCCTCACATGTTCCCTCACATGTTCCCTCACATATTCCCTTCCCTCACGTGTTCCCTCACATGTTCCCTCACATCTTCCCTCACATGTTCCCTCACATGTTCCCTTAGTGTTCCCTCACATGTTCCCTCACGTGTTCCCCCACATGTTCCCTCACGTGTTCCCTCACATGTTCCCTCACATGTTCCCTCACATGTTCCCTCACGTGTTCCCTCACATGTTCCCTCACATGGTCCCTCACGTGTTCCCTCACATGTTCCCTCACGTGTTCCCTCACATGTTCCCTCACGTGTTCCCTCACATGTTCCCTCACATGTTCCCTCATGTGTTCCCTCACATGTTCCCTCACGTGTTCCCTCACATGTTCCCTCACGTGTTCCCTCTCATGTTCCCTCACGTGTTCCCTCACATGTTCCCTCACATGTTCCCTCACGTGTTCCCTCACATGTTCCCTCACATGTTCCCTCACATGTTCCCTCACATGTTCCCTTAGTGTTCCCTCACATGTTCCCTCACATGTTCCCTCACATGTTCCCTCACGTGTTCCCTCACATGTTCCCTCACATGTTCCCTCACGTGTTCCCTCACATGTTCCCTCACATGTTCCCTCACGTGTTCCCTCACATGTTCCCTCACATGTTCCCTCAGGTGTTCCCTCACATGTTCCCTTACGTGTTCCCTCACATGTTCCCTCACATGTTCCCTCACATGTTCCCTCACATGTTCCCTCACGTTCCCTCACATGTTCCCTCACGTGTTCCCTCACATGTTCCCTCACATGTTCCCTCACATGTTCCCTTAGTGTTCCCTCACATGTTCCCTCACATGTTCCCTTAGTGTTCCCTCACATGTTCCCTCACATGTTCCCTCACATGTTCCCTCACGTGTTCCCTCACATGTTCCCTCACATGTTCCCTCACATGTTCCCTCACATATTCCCTTCCCTCACGTGTTCCCTCACATCTTCCCTCACATCTTCCCTCACGTGTTCCCTCACGTGTTCCCTCTCATGTTCCCTCACGTGTTCCCTCACATGTTCCCTCACGTGTTCCCTCACATGTTCCCTCACATGTTCCCTCACATGTTCCCTCACGTGTTCCCTCTCATGTTCCCTCACATGTTCCCTCACATGTTCCCTCACATGTTCCCTCACGTGTTCCCTCTCATGTTCCCTCACGTGTTCCCTCACATGTTCCCTCACATGTTCCCTCATGTGTTCCCTCACATGTTCCCTCACGTGTTCCCTCACATGTTCCCTCACGTGTTCCCTCTCATGTTCCCTCACGTGTTCCCTCACATGTTCCCTCACATGTTCCCTCATGTGTTCCCTCACATGTTCCCTCACATGTTCCCTCACGTG